CTGACTAAAAATTGGTTGACAAAACTCTTGAAAATTTTGCGGTCGATAAAGCGCATGCCCGAACGCTCGATAGTTAATATTTTTGTCGGGTGAGTGCGCTGACGCTAGCTTATTTGCGGTGCGGTCTAGCGCGTTCGAACGATTCCGAACAAACGTAAATTAATAAATATCTAATCTACCGCGGAATGTCGGCGAACCCTGGTGCGCACTTCGGCAGAAAAGAAAGACATTCCTCGGCGACGTCTCCTAACGCGTAATTTTTCAGAAACGCGTACAAAGGTGCGGACCGCTCCGTTTGATGGCGGATACCGGCAAGTGCCGGCGCGATATCGGTATTGGCGCGCGACGCGGCGTGGCGATGCAGGGATTCCATAGCGGATGCAAACGCATACGCGTAAAATGACATGCCACGCTCAATTTCAAATAATGATAATTTCAACAGTGGCACGAGGGAGGAAACAGTTTTTATATAATTATAAAGAAGAGAATCTACTGAAAACATTCCAATTTGTTACATATCATTCAAAAGTGGTACTATATTTTCTCAATTTTTTCATTTTCGACATCAGTGGACATTTAGGAATCAATGTGTACTTCATGAAATGTCACTGAATTTCTCGGTTCGGTCGTAGAAGGATGGCCGTGAAACCAAGGTCGACGGAGGGCACGTGGCAGATTTCGGTTGCTAGGAGACGTCGTAGAGGAGTGAAACATATAAAATGAGCGAGGACCCCGGGGCCCGCACTTCATTTTATATTTTGCCATTGCGCGTTTCACCTCGTATTTTGTCATTGCGGACTTCACTTCATATTTTGTCATTGTGCAAAGTCTTTCATTGCTTGAATAAACCTTTCGTTACTTGACTGTAATACATCTATTGATATCGTAAATTGTCAAATTGTTTTCGTCTATCACTCGCTACAGGACTTAATTATAATACGTTTTTTATACGATAACCGAAATAAATTAGTGCGTTTTTCACCGTCGAGAAATTGAATTTGTTCTAATACAGAATTAAAAATATTAAGCGCTACCTACTTTTTATTAATTAATATATTTAAAAATTTAGTACTAAAAATTTTCAGAATTGTAATTGATTAATTGAACCTATTTTCAGAAGCTACTATGTCGTCCAAACTATGCTCTTGAAAACTAAAACTTAATTTTAATACCTTGCATGTCGCCACTTGAAGCGCTGATGTCACTCTTCTACATGTAGATCTTGTATGTCTTTTATCATTGGACGCAAGAAAAATATCGAGTTTACATTGTTGCAAAAGTTCAGATGAAATAGTAAACGATTAGGTGGATGCTGTGTGACTGAAGCAGAGATTCACGCAATCTGTTGTCTCTTTCAGGTTGATTTTGAGTGGTGAGCACACTCTCTGTTTAGGATCGAGCTCAGGGATACTCTTATTATTATATGTTATATATTTGTATGTTTTTATTTTTATACTACATTATGAGATAATGTTATTAGTTTTCTTGTAACTTTTGGTGTGAGTGTTTCTTTATCGTAATGTAGAAAGTTTATATGATAACAGCATGATTGTATGAATTATTTGAAATGTCATACATATTTCTTTCCAATACATATAAATCTTTATAAACTTATTTAATATATTTCATTCTATTTCTACATATTCCATTTACTTTTGCCTTTAATAAAATAAATTTTAAAGTAAATATAAATTTGTACGTAAACTATGTACGCACATACTGTTCCGAGTTGTTCGGAATATTATTAACGTAATATTTATGGGTGTTTTGTCAAACCTAGGAGCGCTTCACTCTTGCAATTTCAAACGGATCTTTAAGACCACATGGACATCTCCACAGCTTGACGTTCTTAACAATTGACAATAGCCTTCTAACAGACCAGAAAAGCACGTTTTCCTAACACCAATATATCTTTTCTTAAAGAAGTTTATTTCCATGGTCCTAAAACTGTGCACCCCTGCGGTGTACAATGTTTACGAAAATCCTTGCGTAATCGGCGGGCCATGGCACTCGGGCTCGGTCATTCAGCAGTCTCGCAGTGCGTCCGAGTACTTAGTTCTTTTGAAGGACCCAAATCACTTAACTGTTTGGGTCACCTTATTAACGACACGTTATTTACAACCCTGGAGTGAAGGCTAAAAATCTTACAATCTCATTCGCTGAACCATCTCACCAATCACTATTTTTTACAAATAACAATCTGTCCTGATTGGTCCTTTTGGTAACGCCTTCACGTCTTGAACTTCCTCCTTTGTTTTCTTTTCTGGCTGTTTAGAGACGACTAGTCAGTCTTAAAACTACCGTTGTTAGAGTTTCATACAGATGAGGTTTACGACATGACGAGAGAATGGTCACTTTTGAACCCCATAATTTAGTATCCGTACCATCTGCGTGCCAGCACTACGATGGTACGTGACAATTTGTAGTTTTTAGCAGATCTGTTTATTGCTGCACTAGTCTTTAGAATTTTTGGCTTCAGTGACACAGGTCATGTCATAAATCTCTCAGCTTAGAAGGTCAGAGAGCGATCTGACCCTTAGAAGTAACGGGTCCCGCGGACCGGGACTGACGTCATAGGATTTTGGAAAAACCCGGATTCTCCCCGGAATGCCGTCCTCCCCCGTAGGAACTTCTGTTCCCCTTCCAGAAAAGTACCACGCTAAGGGCGCAATGGAAGGGAGGACAGAGGTGTTAACGAAGCTAGAAGATGACAAATTAGACAGATAGCTAACAGTTTAGATAACTGACAGTACAAACCGACAACAGTATAGACAGGAGAAGAGTTAGATAGTACAGAGTTCAATCAGTATAGAACAGAATCAGTTTAACACTTATAAATATTCGACACACTAAAACACACACACACACAACCTCCGTTTATACACACACACACACACACGTCTTTATTAAAACCTATATTTTTAATACAAGTTTGTGAGTGTTTTTACACGGCCCCAATCCGTACAAACATTGGGTGGTCCTTCAATAGAACTTAGACGGCACGAAGTGCAATAACCAGGGCTCGACCAAACCCTAACAACCGTCGTTGAAATATACTTAACGAATCACAGTAACTATCAACTACAAACACACACAACAATCATTACAACTAGTGGGATGATGATCTACATCCTTCATTGACCTGGGCACACCAGTGTGGAGGACTCTGAGCCACTCTATAAATTCTACTCTATAATACTAACTCTACATATAATTCCACTACCGTAACAAGTTGTGGAAACGCCATGGGTCGATGAAGATTTAGAACCTTCGAAAACAGCTATAAATAATTAATATTTTACCCATCGCGCGAACACATACTGATAATGTTCTTGTGTGCGTATCTCACTAATATTGTGAATACATGTTAGTTGTGACATTAGCGCTCCAATTGGTTTCCCGGGGATACTATCTTGAGCTACAAGGCTAAATACGGTAGTTTACTAAGCCTAACGGTTACATTAATACGCGAAGTGTACAGGGTGTTCGGCTACAGATGGACATAATTGCAGGAAATGGTAGCTAAGGTGATAACGCTGCAGTGCTGTTAATCATCAGACACATTATAATACAGATTACTAAAAATAAGATACTTACCCTTTTATTTCATCGTTTAATCTGTTAGTGTATATTATTATCTCAACATTAAATGCCACAAAAAATTTCTCTCCTTTACTTTTCTTGTATATCATTAATTTAACTGAATTTGCAACCTCGGTCATATAAGACCACCGTGTCGGTCCACGTATCAATGAAGAACATCGACCAAAAAGAACGCGTGTAATACATAGACTCAACTGTGGAAGTGTTGGCTGAGCACCAATAGTTACTTTTGATTGCAAGCAAATAAATCTGCGCTGCATCGATAAAGTAGTACGCATCCATATATATACAGCTACCACATTTATTCATAGTGACAATATGAAATTTATTGTCATTAACGAACTTAAATTATCAGCGAAACTAATTCTATCTGTCGAAATAGAGTAAAAATCAAAAATAGAAATTTCATACTATGTTTACGACTACAACATTGACACATAACCAATACTCTCATGGCTAAATTCGCTATGAGCTCTTGTTGGTTAGTTTTTTCATTAATAACTTAAAAACTAAGCTTAACGAAAATTTTGGTCAAGAAAAAACTTGTGTTTAATTATTTAATTCAATAATAACAATTCTTTATTCATTATTCAATGTTACAGTGATCACAATAAGCGTATTCCTTTGCATTTTATCATTAATTTTATTGTTAATATAATTGAACAGATTTCAAGAACTTCCACAACTCAATTCAAACAAATTACAATTGATATATCTCACTTGTAATACAAAAAATATATATTTTTACTGTTGAGTTTACTGATTATCACGTTGTTAATTTTTATAATTACTTAAAAGTTAAAAAAGTAATAAAATTGTTAAATTATTAATAAATTTAGCATATAGCGACATCTTACAGTATTAGAAATGATGTGCGATGTTAGTAACAGAATAATTGAATATTAGAAACAGAATAATTGAATATTGTACTTCCGTCTTGTCGTTATGAAAATGTAAGCGTTCGTGATGTTTTATTTGAAGTAAAAGTAATCCCTGTTTAAATGGTTAATCTTTAAGTTAAAATGTTTGTTGTTTGTGTTTTATATTAAATAATTTGTTCGTGTTCAAAAGTGTATTATTAGTTTTGTTATTTTCCATAATTCTGATTATTTAACAAAAATAATTTAGATTTACTTTAAAACATTATAAAAATGTGCTTAAAATTAAAAGTTCCTGAAGTTAAACTTTATACTTCAATTTGTATTAAACACTCTATTACTTGTAAGAATAAATATAGTATGTTCTATTTTTCGGTTAAATCTTTCTAAAGCACCCATGGTGGTTTTTTACTTTAACAGAACACGATAGAATGGACTCTTCACTTGCTCGATTTTCGCACAATGTTTCTTATATAGAAAACGGAGAGGAAGGAATTCAAGAGATAACACTACTCGCTATTAGGATTTGACTTTATTCTTATAATCACGTGTCATACAATAACATGCATGTTTAAAGTCCTGATAGACTGAATCCTGGCAATATTTTTCCAATAATTCTAAGAATTAAACTCACTATATTGGCAACGATAGTAATGGGTATCTGTAATGAATAAACAAAACAATTTACAAATTGCTATAAGTTTCAAGGTATGTACAATACGCTAATCTTGGTTCATGAAACTCTTGATTGTGTGTAATTTCCTTTTACGCGATTCATGGTAACATCAAATATGTCATGAAACTCATTTTATTTCATTTCATTTTTAACATGTTTGATGATTTTTGCTCCCGGCCGCGTGAAGCGTATGCGCTTGTTGTTGATACCAACAATTTCGTTTGCAACATAGTTTTATAACATTTGTGATAGAATAAAAGTTATTACTATCTAGACCAAAACGTAACGTTTTAAATGCACTATACAACTAAAAATCAAATGTTCCAATAAATTATTAAAAGATCATTCAGGTTGTAAAACTATAAGACATTTATCGGTACAATGAGACTACATCGTTGTTACAATATTAAATTTTTCTAGTTTATTTTTAATACGCGGCATTCTTTACTTACATAATTATGTGACCACCAACTATCTGATGGGCGTATCACATTTATACCTGGACGTCAATACAAGATTTTATAAAATGATTCATGAAAATGTTATTTTACAACGAGAACATGAACCAGTTCAAATGGAAAGTTCATGGAGAAGCGTGTACGCTCAACGTGGCAGAAAATCGTGTTAACTGTGTAAACTGAGATCACATAAACCGAAACCGTGTATAAAAAGTAACACGTAAACGAGAATTCGTTCATGCTGTGAAAATAAGAAACTGGGGCATGAGGAGTACCTCACAAAGCAAAGAACTAACGTACGAAATATTTTAATACCGCATATTTGTAGAATGGGGACAATTTTACAGAGATTCTTGTGATAGGAGCAAACTCTTATTTTGAAAGGCACAGGGATAAATCCATCTTATTTAGTTGGTTCGCAAAGTGTTTTGAAAGTTATAACAGAGTTATTACGCGTTATGAATACCCTTTCCTCACATGTATTATTTATACATGCGCATATCTTACTTTATCGGAGTTCAGTTCCGAAAAGCGCAAACCTCCGATCGCACTGAAATTATAACCAAAGCTTACCCTCGATTAGAAAAGAAGTCCTTAAAAGGATTTTAGACGACAAAGCCTTCTTTGCTTCCCAGCGTCCTCCAAAGTTTTTCACAGTTCTTACCAAATATATCCAAAAGTATTGATCTTAGAGAAAAAGATTTTGAACCAAAAATGAAGGTTATTAAAAGCTGTATGAAGAAAGTAATATGATATTTTAACGTACGGCTATTATTTTGACTGTTATGACCTAAAATAACTAGATAGAGGTCAAAATGACTTCTGCCAGGGCACTTTTATTAGCGGGATGGTTGCAGGAGAGGGCATAATCCCTTTTGCACGCTCACGTGTATGCGTATCTGTTTTCCATACTACACATTTTCTATATCTACTTTTTACACAATTTTTCCGCGATATATAATTAAAGCTTTTAAAATTTTTATAAAAAAAATACTTTTTTTTTAATAATTTTCAAAATAATTTACATAAAAAATGTATACAACACTTTTTGCAGACTTTTTTAACAGCTTCTTTTTTTGTTAAAAACTTTTTTCCTCTAATATCAATATTTTTTGGAGATATTTAATAAAATCTTTCGAAAGGAGGCTTTGAGAGGAGCTAGGGGAAACGAGGCTTTGTCGTTAAAAATTCGTGTAAGGACTTTCTTCTCTAATCAAGGATAAGCTTTGATTAAAATTTCATCACGATCAGGCGTTTACGCTTTTCAAAACTCTACCCTTTTATCGTTTAGGTCCAGATAAATTGACGTTTTCAAAGTATCATAATTGTTTTCAAATCTGATTCAGTAACTATTTCAAGTATGTTTGATAAAAGAATACTTACGCTCACAAATCTTATTACAACGTTGTAAAGGGTGGAAATTATTGGGATAGAGTTCAAAATTGAACTCAACGGATTAATTTGTTTGAGGAATCTTTGGATGTTTGACATTACTGATTCCATGGGAGTTTCACCCGATATGATCTGTGCGACAGATGAAGTTATATCTGAAAGGTCTCCTGGAAGCTCCCTTAGAACAGTTGGCAAATTGCCTGGTAATCCTGCCATTACTGGAAACAAAAATATAATATATTGAAAAAAGAAAATAATTAAAATGCTCGAATAGTAAATGTTCATAAAAAGAAAATCATCTTCGATTTTGAAATATTTTGTCATGTTCATTGTCCTAAATCATTTTTTCCTATATATACAATAGACAATCACATTTAACTATTGCAATATTTTCAGAAAATGTTAATTTAAAGGTACATAATTTTTCGACAGAATTTACAAGTAACACGATGTTATATAGATACAAACGAAAAATTAGAAATCAATGATTACAGGTAAAAAGAGAAGTTATTAAATGTTGTTTAAGAATCAGTAACCTAGTATGCATTGACTTAACGAAATAAAAACGAATATACAAAATAATATATTATAAATTAAATGAAAAAACATAGTTACGTATACACATACTCTACCAATTGTAAGTCATTTTTTGTGTTGAAAAGAATTACTTCTGCCATAGTCATAAGAAATATTAACAGAAATGTAAGAATAGTAAATAAGAACAGTAGATTTGCTATATGATCTGTGAAACTCGAAATTAAAAATAAAATAGGAAAATAAATAAACAAATGATTAAATATAATTATACATACACATTAATTCCTTATCTCGATAAAAATCAACACAGATTTCAAGAGAAGTATCTTAACAAATTTTGTAATTTAAAATAATTTATGAAAGAACTTATGAATTGGTCATTCGACCTGTTTGGCAATTTCAGTGTTAAAATATGCAGAATACGTTTCAGGATAATGGTTTTGACAAGATATTTCAAGGATTCCTTTTTTAAGCACTTACCACTAAAATTTATATTTATTCTGAACACATATACTTGATATTGTACGTTAGTACTCTTATTGTTAGTAACGCTTGAATTTACTAATATCGAAATTTTGAGTATCACCGGCTTCATAAAATGTATATTCGAATATTGGATACCAGTTTAATTTTTTGAGTATTCGAGTACAAGTTTAACTTAAACCCGACTATTACAGTACTAACTTAATTTTAATTGTTTAACATAAAGATATTTTAAAAGTATGTTCGTATTTTGTTCAAGAACGAAACAGTTTTATGAGCAATGAGTAAATATGGCTTTATATTGTTATCAAGCAATTTGAACTATTATTATTAATTTTAATATGTAGTTTTTCCTTCGGCGTATTTTGACACTTTTTTGCCTACAGTTGTGTACAGGACCATTTCTCCCGCAGTTTAAAGATAAATGCATCATCAAAGAGAGATAATTTGAATTAAGGGAAAAATTAATGTAAAAAAATCAAAGATTGCATGTGAGACTATATTAATCAAGAGAGATGATTAAGTACTGTTCATGGTAGAGTGTTATATAGACAAAATACTGTGACTTGTTACTTATGATAATTGAATATTACTAAATATTACTGAATTACTAAATATGTTTACTGAGCGGAATGGTAAAAATGGCTTTATAAAATATGTACCGAATCGGAATTGCATCTGATTCTAAGCTATAGAGGAAGATACATTCTTCTACATCAACATTTTAAAACATTTTAAAAAGTATATTCCAATATTACAATAAAGTCTGTAGATTTAATATTATATTTTGTTATTAACTATACAATACTATATAAGCAATGAATAAAGTGTGTAGTATTTAATAACCCCACTACTTTTCACATTTTTTTCTGTCCATCATTTTCACCCATTCTTTTCAAAACTGCATAATATGAAATATAAAAGACAAAACTTGTCAAAAATAAGTGGCTTGAGTTTCTAAAATAGCAGATAAACCACTCAAGAGTTACTTGCAGTAAATTTGTTATTTTACTTACATAATTTTGTTCAAAATAAAACAGCTTAACTCTTAATGAGTTAAACTTGTCTTCTTTCTACAGACTTCATGCGAGAACAGTTCTACATTTGGATCTTCAAAAAATGGAGGATCCAAATTTATGTACTCCTATATTTATAGTAATAAGAGCTACAAATGTACGTATTAAGAACTTTCTGCTCTGCTATATAATAAAGTACTTATTACCTACTGTTAAAAATGATACTTACGACTTTGCAGTGAAAAGGAATCATTGCTATTCTCAGCCTCAGAATTTCGTTTTGGCCTCTCTGATAATATCACAAAGAATTTTATTAATTTTCTTGCTATTAGTTATTTGATCCTTGAATGACGGAATCGAATCTTTGCTGATTCAATGATATGTGTCACAACTCAACTTTTAATTTCTGTGTTAAGTGTATCAATGATGTTCAATTCAAATTAAACTTTATAATCTGCTAATTACATATGTTTCGAAAGCAGTTTTATAATTCGACATTAAATGATTGTAGAATGATGGCTTAATCATTAAATGAGATATTCTAAAAACGTCATTAATTTTTGAGTGTTCAATTTTTCAAGAGAAACTTTGGAATGTATAATTAAATACCAAATAGTAGAAATGCTTCTTATAAAGAAGCTACTTATTATTTTATCTTGAGAAAAAATTATGAATAATCTTTGAAAGATGTTTTAACATATTTCGCAGCTGATTTCAGTAAATTTAAACGTTGAATGTGAAAAAATTTCAAGAATGAGAAAGAATTGAAAAAATGACGGTTTTTAGAGAGAAATTCCAAACTTTTTTCGATGTTTGTATAAAGAGCTAAAATTTTAGCTGAACTTTTGAGGTATAACATTTTAAGGAAAAAAATAGTAAAAATACTGAGATTTTAGAGAAGGTATTTATTTAGATTTGCAGGACATAATGTGACTGAAATTGAAGCTAAATTGGCTTAGTTTGTTTCATAGTGTAGTGACACCGTTAAAGATTAAAATATAATTAACTGTAAATATAACAATGTAATACGTCATGGATTTCTTAATGTTCTTTTTATTTTCGCCGACACAGAAAATTGTACGAAAAGAAAGTTGTTAAATTTAGTATGACGAATATAATGATTTGCAATTTTTTCCAAAAGTCAGTTTTAAAGATCATCCAAATTTTTTGCATATTAATATATGTCTTTCTGATGCAATACTGTAGTAAATATCAATACAAATCCAATGCTTCATAGCACCATAACCTTGAAATTAAAAATTCTGTACTTCTTGTACACGATGTTTATTTAAGAACAAATATTCGAAGTAATTACCAATAGCTTTAGGGACTTTTGAGGTAAAAACCTATTTATTTTGTTAATGCGTTTGCAAATATTAGAAATTAGGAGTATCATAAAAAATTTGGTCGCATAAAATGGTACCGTTCCCAAAACTACCTTCAAACTAATAAAACTTTGTATATTTGTCGGAGAACAAACATGTCAAGAACACGGTGGTATAAAGCGTTGAACTCGACTTGATGTTTACGACAATATTATATTTTGAAACTCATGTTTATCTGCGAAAAATATCGGTAACCTTGGAAATCGTAAATGGAAGCAGCCTTGCGGAAAAATCACGAATTATCGATTACTTAGATGCGTCATTCTAAACCGAACAACATTATCTTGATACAATTTTCAATGGTAAAAATAACGAATATATTAACCAGTTAAGTGCGTTTGACGACTATATCCGTCATGAAGATGTGGCAGAATTTTGTGTCATAACGACTGTATTCGTCATACTGTAAAATTTTGTTACAATTTGATATTTAAATTGTAATTTTAGCGAAAACTAAATTATATTCGTAAATTGTAATATGTTTAAAATGTTTAGAGGTCAACATGAAATGAAATAAACAAATAAAAAGTGTAAATGATTTGAGATGGATTCATAAATTCTTGAAAACTAACTCATCATCGCTGGATTATCGCGACACACACTGGTGCGCGCTTTGCAAAAAGATCGTCATAGTTAACTGGTTAAGGAAACCATGACAAACAATACACTTTGAATCACCATACCATTATATTTTTATTTCCGAAATTTCATACGGTTACTTTGAATATTATACGGTTGTGATTTGTTAGGAAAAAATTGAACACTCGATACCGTTGTATAATTCGTTTCACAGGTATGGGTCGTGACTGATCCGGCTCCACCGTTCAAGAATAAAGTCAACTGTTATTACCTTCTACTTCTGATCTAGGTTTGGCCAATGTCCCAACCAACAAACACGATAGCAAAAATATTGAGAGCTTCATGTTGACCATTTTGTAGTCTTTCTCGGCGCCTTAGTTAACAAAAATTTCCAAAAATGGAAATCTTCCAACTTTGCCTTTAGCTGGTGTTCTACTCGCACTATTTATCGTTGCACGTTCGTATTTATATACTTATCGGCGAACTTATGTTAAAATGCTCGGTCATTAATAGTAAATACTTAATGATATCGTTAAGTGACCGAGCATTAGCAATATTCAAAACTTGTCCTTGGCTTTCGTTAGATGTCTACGTTGATATTTCATTTTCATATATATTGTTACTGAACTGGTACTTGTTAATTATTCACCCTTAAATTATAATTTTTTAAAACTTAAAGAATTGTCGAATTACGTGCTAAAAAGAAAAACACTCATAAAAAGTAATTAAAAGAATTATTCATTTTATTTTGTGCACACTTTTTATGCATAAAATTGCTTCTTTTGGAAAATAACCGTAACGCATGTTAGAATTCGAAATTTTTATATGAAATAGTTGGGCTACAAAAGCCAATTAAAGGTTGCATTCGTTTAATTTTTTTTAAAACACTTTATATTCGTCGTTAAGGAAATACTATATTTTGTCAATTTATTTGTAAAAACCTTTAAAAACCACATACAAGTTCTTTGAAGAATTTTATAATAATGTACAGAGTGTTTACTAATTTATCCAGTGTTTTATCCGTAGACGGAAATGAATTTAAAAAAGTGGAGAAGGAAAGAGTTTAAGTTGTAAATAGTTTAGAGGAAAATATAGTTAATATAAAATAAGTACGCACTAAGAGTGAATAACTATATATACTAAAGAACAGATTAGGATGAACGCGAAAGTACGTTGACTCAGAGTATTATTAGAAAAAAATAATTTTTACCGCTAAATATAAATTATATGCTAAATACACGTGACAGATGACTATGGAGCAAATCAAATACAAAAAGAAATTTGATACCAATCATTAGGCGTGGTCTTAATTCTAAATTTACGGACAGTTAATGATGAATTATATTTAAATTGAAACTAAATTATAAAAATAAAGGAATAATATAAAACATATAAATTAGTTTATACAGTGATTCTGAATGATGGTTAATTTTGACAAAAGCTTCTTGATAATTTTTGTAGTTTAAAATAGCAAGTATGAGATCCGCTATTTTGACGGGTTTTGTAAACTTAACATTAAATTTTCTCTGTAAACACGTATTGTTTTTCTATAAGGTCCATAGTGCATTTTCCTATGGTTTAGTTATACAAGTATGTATACAAGTATGTATGTAAGTGGTTGAGAACTCTCATTACGAGAAGTATAAAAACAAAAAATCTCGTATTTCAAAGGGGCGGCGGCTCTAAACAATTCTAATCGCGTAACGAATATTACATAAGTAAATACAAATTATTATAAAATTTTCAATTATATCAATAGATAAAAATTTAATAAAAATATTGTAAACACGAATTTAAAGAAAAGTTGAGAGTTATAGAACAGTTAGAACTACGGTTTGCATAATAGTGGAAAAGAGTTTCATCAGACTTTGACAAAAAATTAATAAAATCTTTGTTGAAGCAAGGCATAATTATATTTCACGCATTTAAATACTGTCACACTTAAATGTTAAATTCAGTTAGTACAGGTCAAATATAACAAGAAATCAGTTAATTTGTAAGTACAGGAACAGCTACGAGTTCCATTTTTACTATATTATTGCAATATTTCGTTCCAGTGTTATACAATTATAAATTACAGCAAATATTACCGTATTTTGGATGCAGTACCTTTACTTAAAATATTATGTATAATACAATAACATTTTTTTGCAAAAACCGGAAATTTAATATTTCCTTTAATAATTTTATTATGTTCTGAGGATATAATGTAAAAATATTGTCGATTTATGAGGAAGAACTAAAATTTATGCAAAATCTACAGCCTTGATCTTTCCTTATATTCTTATGGCGTATGTAACATCCACGTAAAAACTTATCTATACATGCATTGGGCACTATATGAGTATGAATACTTATGAAATTGACTGTACAATAATTTGTCGTCATAGTTCTGCTGATTAAGAGGTACTGTTACGTACCAAGAAGTAGATAACGTTCAACGTCAGTATCGGTAACGACAAAAAGAGACAATTAGTTGAATCAGAATTATGGAATGCGGCGCAAATAGATAACAGAAGTTACAACATTATTCATTGTAGAACAGGAAAGACACTTGACAACTTCATTTACTTTAAGCACTTCATCGAAGAAATTACTATGTACTTTTATTATTTCGTACTAATAGGAACATCATTCGTTCCTGCAGACCAGAAACTATGTGCTAGGACCATACCCTGTCGTCTTGGGAGTAGTGTGTGTATTAGATACATTTGGTTAAATAGTGTGAGGAAGTAACTTGAATACCTCGTATGTGAAAATTTAGGAATTTTGATGTTTCGAAGTTTAAAAAATTGAGAATTTCGACGTTTGTAAGTTTGGAATTCTGAAGTTAGAGAATTAAGGAATTTGGGAACTCAGCAATCTAAGAATTTTGGCATTTGTAAATTTTCTAATTTAGAAATGTGGAAATTTAAGAGTTGACCATTCAGAAATTTGAAAATTTGGAAATCTGGTGGTCTAAAAACTTAATAATTTGTAGAATTCAAAATTTTCGAATTTGGAATTTGGGAAATTCAAAATTTAGAAATTTAGAAACTAGGCAATTTAAAAATTTAAATATTTGAGAATATGGTTATCGAAGGAGGAACAAAAATTACACGAATACAATGCACAATTAATAATAATTGAAATCTCTAATTAATAAAACTCTTTGCCCATACACATATTGCAATTTATAAATACAATTGTAACAAATTAAAAATTCAAAAATTTGTGAATTTTTCAAATTAAATATTTAAAATTTATAAATGTTTGAGTTTGGGAATTTGGAGGAAATTTGAACAATTGGAAATTTAAAAGTATGGGAATTTATATATTTAAGTATTTGGATATTCAGATGTTTAAGAATTTTAATACTTGAAGTTTTGAAAATTTAGAAGTTTAGTAAATTGAAGATTTGCAGAGGCTGTGAGCGGATAACCACATGAAATGTGCTTTTGAATCAATTTGGTTTCTTGTTTCTTCTTCGTGGGTTGTTATTTGTAATAATAATAAATTCCATCAAACATTTACAGCGAAATATGTACTCATATTTACTAGGACAAAATCATTTTAAATTTAAAGGAAAGTATTTTCCAAATATTATTACAAATAATGTCAAAGCTATCATTTTGTATAAGTAATTTTATGAAATAAAGACTTATAATTTATTCGTGATTTACATTATGCAAGAAGTGTGAAAAATAATAATAAAAATATTTAAGATTATCTTCTGCTTCAAAGACAATCTATATTTTTCTTAAAATTTCTTATATACGCAGCTATAAAATATAATTCAAAATGTGTGATAAACGTCGATATTCGTATTAATAAACGGTAATTAGTTTTTGAAATTACACGCTCCTCCCTGATTGTTATTACCTTGAAATATGTTATCGGGGGCATCATTCTAAATAACTTTGCCCTGCACATGTTATCGCCAGTCGGTCTTAGTTTCCGAAATATTCGCTAAAACATTTCCAACATTACATATCCTATTTTGAATAGAATATACATCAATTTCAATGACCTTGAAGTGCGCTTTACGTTCGGTACATTGAACAATTTTGTCTGCACATATAACCATCGTTGATTTTAAAAATACAAATACTTTTAAAAACAGTTTCAAAAATACTAATATAATAAATAAATTAAAACTATTAAAAATAATAATAATTTTGAAAAATGTTCAATACGCAATTTGTTGATTATACATCTGTACCCACTAATGCGTACCTATTACTTGTGTAACTCGGTCCATGACTACCAAATTATGTATTTATACAAATTGCATGTTTCTTTTCAAAAACATTAAAACTGTGAAGAATGTAATATCATTTATTTACAATGCTATAATATTAAATTATATAGCAATTTACTATATACCAATTACTATAATATACTACACACCTAGATTCATTCCCACGTATGTAATACACATTCATTTTATCATAATTTGATTTCGTTTAACAACGAATAAACTTTGAAATATTTACGATACAGTCACATTAACTGATCGTTAAAATCCTTCAGTAAACGAACACTGGCTATCCCCACTAGTACGTGAAACTAATTTCGAAAAGTGAGCCGGAACAAAGTGCAACGGTTCCAATTAACGCTTTAACTACCGTGTCATATAACCAATTGGAAATATGCGTATAAACTACTTGGTACTGCAAATAATAAATGTAACAAAATACTGTGAACATACAGGGTGTCCCGTAACTGGTGGTATATTCAGAAAGAGGGTGATTCTACATAAAAAAATAAATTGAAAATGTAAAATAAAATTTTTTAATATGAAGCTTTGTTTTCGAGAAAAATAGGTTTGACAACTTGTTCAATACACGTGCACTTGGTCTATATTCGGTTTGACGGACTTCGCTGTAAACTATATTTATTCCCTTCTTCTAACCTAACCCAATTTGACATGTCTTATAATATAATCAAAAATGAATATCAGAGAATGAATAACATGGGTTATAAAACATGTTTTGGGTTAGGTTAGTTTAGATTAATATTCTTCTAAAGGACAATTAAGTTATAAGGAAAAACTACTCAGGACGACGACCTCGACAACATATGCCAAGGTTATTGAAGCGGGCTTCTCTTTTGCCAATATTTAGCATAAAAATACTAACTCATAAAATTTTCAACTCCTTGCCATACAATTTATTTGTCAGGTACGTCAGTCAAATCTAACTATTCATAGCTATAATGTTTAAACAAACAATAAAAATTACAATGTTGTGAATATTTTATATTCAGCGATCCTTGATAATGCAAATTATAGCTGGACTTAAATTTTAAGCTGAAGAGTATTTGAGTAAGATTTGTTATATTTGAACTGTGAGTGCGTCACGAGTTGAGACTCGTCAAAGTATGACAAGGGATTAAGCATAGTAATCAACCTGTTAATGTAGCTGAAATTTAGAACAGTACACATGTTTATAGTTTAACAG